TTGCCACATTTTCTTCTAGGTTTCAATGTGGAAACAGTAGAATACAAGAACATTAGCTTCACAGTGTGGGATGTAGGTGGTCAGGATAAGATTAGACCACTTTGGCGCCATTACTTCCAGAATACACAAGGTGAGTCTTCACACTTAAATCACAAGTTACTGGAATAAAATAAGATATTTTTAATACCCCTACACAGATTATCTTGACACTTTTTTGGGAAAACGTGCTCGTTTTAGCAGGGTGCGTGCACATGTGCTGGGCTGGCTGTTACACTAAGGTTCAAAGAGGAGTGGAAAGAAGTGTAGAAAACAGTCCTCTTGGAACCAGTCCTTCCTGTCCTTCTGAATCAGAGTTCAGAATTCTGCTTTTCCTCTGAAAGCCTTGCAGCTCCCCAGTCTTTACTTCAAAGCAGAGTCTTTAGTACTAGTCATTTCGTACAAACTTAACAGGCTTGTGAACCGAGGACATGTCACTTCTTCCACCGGTATGCCTTTAAAATGCAAAATACAAATGCATTAGAGACCCGTCATAGAGTAGCTGCTCCTTCAAAATACGGAGTGGTTATGTGGATTAAACATACAAGCTCTGAAAATTGCACATGCAAGCGAACGACTCGCTTCCTCTCAGCAAGAGCAGATTCTCTCAGACATGAAAATTACAGCAGGGTGAAAATTGCGTCTTTTTTTCCTACATGCTGTTTTGCATTATTTTCAAAGTTTAGTTCTGACTTCTGGAACTATGGAATTGCTTGTAAACAGCTCCTGGTGTTCACTGGTTCTGATTGTTTGCTTCTTTCCAGGTTTGATTTTTGTGGTTGACAGTAATGACAGAGAACGAGTGAACGAGGCCAGAGAAGAGCTTATGAGAATGTTGGCAGAAGATGAGCTTAGAGATGCTGTTTTATTAGTGTTTGCGAACAAACAGGTATGCCCGAGCGAGCCGTGTCTGTGTAAGAGCTCTTGAAACACACTGTGTATTTAGGAGCTGATAACTGCTGCATTTGACATGAGTGTTGCCAACGTTATAGCTGTGTTCTCAGCTAGCAGATGTCCACTCATCTCTGGGCTTGTCGTCTTCAGCAGAACTTAAATTGTCCTGTTCCCACTTGAAAAGTACCTCTTCAGAGCAGTGCTGAGTAATGAAGTTTCCCATATTCTCGGTTTTAGTGAAGAATTCTACCGATTTGACATTAGACTGGCTGGGTTGGAGTGTTGTACCCACCCAAGCTTTCTCCAAACAGAGAAGAAGCCCAGAACACCCAAAACTGGGACTTCCCCTATCCTGCAGTGCGGGTACTTGAGAGCACAAGTCGTGCTTGTGGAAAAAGGGAATTGATTTTTCTTATATTCACACTGAATTGTGAGCACTACTTTTCTCGGCCACAGAGCTTAACTGAAACTAGTTTGTGGGGTTTTTTTAACAAAAAAAAAAAGTAGGTTAAACCCAGATGTTACAGTTCTTAACTATAACTAAGTAAACTTCAGTGATGCAGGAGTTAATAACATCCTGCTTCATCAGTTGTGCAGGCTCTGGAATGTAAAGAAGCCGTCAGTCTCTCCTAGTAGCAGGAAAAGGGAACTCTAAACAGCAGCTCAGTGTGACTTCACAAGGGAAGTTTAGCTAAAACTGAAATCATAAAACTGCAGGGGTAGAAAGTGTTTCCTGGATGGACAGGGAATGAAAACAGCCCTTGGACGGTAAGCAGCTCTGGGTCAACACTGAGTGGCATGATGAATTATTCCAAATGTTAGCCACCTAATTTTTGATTTTTTAAGAGAAATAGCCCTGCTAATACAACCAGCAATGGGTGACCGTGCTTTTAACCTTTGGAAATAGGTTGAATAGAGAAGTAATCTGCTGAGTTTTTCTGAAACAAAAAGCTTGGATTCAAAAGCAGTCCATAAGTTCCTCTGAAAGAGAAGCCCTGAAAGCTCTTAACTTTTTTTTTCTGTGAGTGGATTTGAAGCTGCTGATGAGAGGAAGGAAACGAAGACCTTTCAGGAAGGTCTGGGTTTCTTCCCAGCTGGTGGGAGAGTGAGTGACTCTGCTTGTTTCCCCAGGACCTGCCGAACGCGATGAATGCAGCGGAAATCACAGACAAACTCGGACTGCATTCTCTTCGTCACAGGAACTGGTACATCCAGGCCACCTGTGCCACTAGCGGAGACGGTCTCTATGAAGGACTGGACTGGTTGTCCAATCAGCTCCGAAACCAGAAATGAAACCATAAACCTTCCTCTTCCCTCTTTTTCCACCCTTCCCTCTTATTTCCTCCTATTCGCCCTTCGCTTTACTCTAATGTGGCAAACTGTGCTACTTTGTGGTATTGAGTGCCGGAAGCTGTTTTCATTTCTTTTTGTCACAGTATATATTGCACCATGCTGTAAATGTGGCAAATACAAGCCTGAAAACAGTTAGGTTTCTTATTTAATGTAAATAGTTTTTCTTTCCAATGAGGCAGTTTCTGGTACTCCTATGCAATATTACTCAGCTTTTTTATTGTAAAGAATCAACTCACTGTTTAGTACCTGGAAGGGATTTAAGTGGATTAACATAAGGGTTGCCAGTGGTCATTGTGCAGTAGAGCTAAATACTATCTCTGTTGGGTTGTGAGATCTGTGAGATCCATTTTGGTGGTTGGTTTTTAACCCGAATTCTGTATTTTTTTAAATAGTCAAGGAAAAGTAAAAACACTTGAACACACAAGTATGTTTGACATAGCTTCTGCTCTTCTATCCCTAATATGGTGACTTTTAATTCTTTTGAAATGGTGAAGCGATGATTGCCACCAAATTAGCTTCATCCGTTAAAGGACAGGTTACAGCTGGTCGATCTCTGGTTCTTTGTGTAGCTCATAGTATGTGCTCATTTGTTCATACTTGTTAAGAGACTTTAGTCGGAGTCAGTTTAGATGAGCTTTCAGACTCATCCTAACCTTCTGACTTTTGGTTCAGGTGCGGTTCCATTGAACTTGAATTATTTCTGGAAGTCACATTTTTAGCCTGTTGCATTTGTCTAAAGTGTTTTGTACTTTTCTCGTGTGTAAGCCACTCCAGAAGGCGAACCTTTCCACAGAAAGCACAGCCTGTACTAGTCCTAAGCTCTATAGTCAGAAAGTACTGTACTTAACTAAAAATTGCCATGAAAAAAATAACACCAAACATCTATGTATAGTGTCTAGGAAAAAAAAAAAAAAAAAAAGCATGAGAGTTTGGAGAGTCATTCCACTCTAGAAGTACTCAATCCCATTTTGAAACAATCCCATATCTGTATATGTGTGAAAACCCTTGGCATCCCTCATACTGCAAGGTTCAGATTTGCCATCAGAAAAAAGACCTCTTTACTTTTTCTTTTGTATTTTGATAAACACTGAAGAAGCTGGAGCTGTTAAAACTTTAACTTGAGGAACTATCAGAACTGGTTTGTTTAGTGTTGTGGAAACCTTTATTGCTTTCAATACACAATTAGTAATCAACTGTTTTGTATACTTGTTTTCAGTTTTCATTTCGACAAACAAGCACTGTAATTAAAGCTATTAGAATAAAATCTCTTAACTATTTCATGTTTTTTATGCCTTGCTGTTCATTTGATCATCTTGGCAGAATCATAATGAAATACTTGTTGAATAAAAAGTTTCATGAAACTTGCACTGGTATCATGTTGTTTTGTTATCATCTTTGTGTCGTGTGTGTGTGCGCTCGGCTACTTCTATACGTCTCAGACCACCGTGGTGTAAATCTGACTGGTGCTTTGCTCGGACCTCGCCTGAAAACTTCAGCCCCTTTGCTCTTTTCCAGGTTTTGATCATAGCAGCTGGAGAGGGTGGGACCAGCAGGTGGGATTCAGCTTCTGCTAAGGTTCTTCACTGCCTCCAAGGCATCTATCGAGCTGCTTCTGTTGTCCCATCATCACTCTTTCCACAGCCAATGGTCCTGCTTTTCCCATTTATTAATAGACTCTGTGACCGAACTGTTTTGGGGAGGAAAAGGCCAGTTCTGGCTGCCTTAAATACCTCTGGTATTTTCCTTTCCCTTCAGCAGTCCAGCTCTGGCTTGGGGACAAAACTGGGCTTTTGGCCGCTGGTCTCGGCTTTGCTCAGCTGCAGCCTGTCCTTACTGGCTGCTGGTGCCGGTTCCTTGAGTTTCAGCCAGTTGGCCTCTGCTTTGTGGGGTGGAAATGTGTAAAACGAAAGGTGTTGGGCGGGTCAGGGAGCAGCACCTCCGTGTAGGGCTTTAATGGGGATGTCACCAAACAGGACCTCAGCTGTGACAGTGAGGAGGCAGGAAGGGGGATCTCCACTCCTGGGCTGACCTGGCCTTCAGCTTGAGCTGAGTGAGGGCCAGAGCTTGCCTCGTTGGGTGCCTCAGCTCCACCTGGCTACGTTTTTCCACCACTCACCCCCTTGGGTCCCGCCTCAGTATCTAAGGCAGCAGGGTGGTCACCCAGCTCTTGTTCTTGTGCAGTTGAGGTCCCCAGCTTGTCCCAGGAGCTGGAGGTAACAGCGCAAGGCAGAGGGGGTGACACGGGGCTGCAAAACGCCTGCAAGGCAGGTTCTTCTCTCAAGGCTGCTTGTTGCACCTCAAACCCTGCTAAGGTGACGTGAGGTGTCAACCATCTCCCTCCTCTGGTTCCTAGAGTAAGCAGGGCCCTGCTGTGACTCGCAGAGGCTGCAGGGGTGACATGGGGTCTGCCAGTGATGATTGTCACAGAGCAGGGACAGGCAGGGCCCATCCTGCTGGGAAGGTGCCTGGGAGGTGACTGGATGCGGATGGGTAGAGAAGCCCTGGAGAAACCAGCCGTGGTGGCTGCATCCCGCAGCACCCCCTGGGAACGTGGCTGGGCAAGGACATGTCCCACTGCCCCATGGAGCGTGTGTGTGCACGGAAACAGGGATTGTTCAGCACGGAGACGGCCAGGACCTGGGTGTGTCCTGCAATTAATAGCGGAAAGAAACCACCCGCCCGCCCAGCAGAAATAACGAGCGCCTTGAAAGCCGAGATAGTAAAAATAAAAAAGTTATATTTGCATCCAAGTCCTCTTGAGCTAAAGCGGAGCCGGGGGCGGCGACACTGCCGGCCGCCCGAGCCCACAGGCAGGGATGAATCCCAGGCGGAAGCAGCCACGATCCCGCCCCGCCACGCAGGGATTCCCCATGTTGCTGCCGACATCCGGACGCTCCCGCCGGCGGCCGCGACTGTCGACTCCGGTGCCACCTCTAGAGAATCCGGAGTGTTCAGGACCTGCGGGAGCGGCTGCGGCTCCGCTTGTGGCCGCGGTGTCGCGGGCGGCCGTCCCGGCTGCCCGGGGAGTCGTCCCTGTCGGCCGGTTTCCTCCGCCGGCGCCTGCGGGATGGAGCGGGAATGAGCAGGGGGGAACCAGGACGTCCCGTCTCATCCCTCTCCTTCGTCCTGGCTACCTTGTGTCCCGCTCTGGAGAGGGGGAAGAGGAGGAGGAGGATGAGGAGGAGGACGAGGCATCTCTCCCGCGCCGCTTCTCCTTCTTCTTCTCCTTCTTGTGCTTCTTTTTCTTCTTCTTCTTCTTGTTTTTCTTCTCCTTTTTGGGTTTCTTGGCGCTCTCTGAGCTGCTGGAAGAGGACACGGGTCGCTGACATGTCCTCCCTCCTCAGCATGCTCAGACCCAGCCGCTGATGGTGGAAATGTCCCCACCACCAAACAACCCTCCGTTTGTTGTTTCCTTTCCCATTTTTCCACCTGGAGCGTCGGCCCGAGGTCCCCACCCCACCTTTGCTCCTCGGCCTTGTCCTCCTTGTGCTGCTTCCTCACGGTGCCGGCCGCCTCGGGGCTGCCCGGAGCCTTCTGGTGCTGCAGGGTGGGAGGAAAGGAACATGGAACGGGGAAGAGTCGCCCCAAAATTCCAGGAAAACCCGGCTCTGGGCGGGAAGCGCCAGCACATCCTGCGGGGTAACTCCCCCGAGGTACCCAGACCTACCGTGAAGATGGAGAGTCCCATCTTGGCCGCCTCCTTGTCCTCCTTGGAGAGGATCATCCGCCCGGCGGAGCCGCTGCGGGAGACAGGGAAGGGTGAAGTCGGGATGTCCCCAAACCACAGCGGGGGTGATGCCTGCTGGGGTGTCCCCACGGAGGAGCTCCATCTCGTGAGGCACCCAACCATGGTGGTCCTCCCCATGGAGAAGCTCCATCTCATCACCCACCCGAACACGGTGGGTGTCCCCACACAGGAACTGGCTTGTGATCCATGCAACTGTGGTGCCTCCCAGTCCCAAGCACCAGCACCGCAGCCTTGGGGTGCCCCGGCGGTGGGGACAGCAGCATGGCCTCTCCTACCTGGAGCTGCCCAGCCCCACCGGGCGGTCCACGTCGGCCGGGTCCCGCTCGGTGCTCTGCCGCCTGCACACCTCGGCCAGGTCCTGCAGACACCAAAACACGTCACAGGGGTCACGGGGGACTGTCGGCACCGCCAGCAGTGGGGTGAGGAATGGGGACACCAGGGAGACCCGCACCTCCTTGCTGAGCCCCGTGGGCCGGCGCCGCACGCTGCCATAGCCCCTGCAATGGAGAGAGGAGAGTGTCAGGGTGCGTCAGGCTTGCAGGAGTTCCATCTCATGGTGCACCCAACCGTGGTGCGTGTGCCCACGGAAGAGCTCCATCTTATGACCCATCCAACCACGGTGACCATCCCCATGCAGAAGCTGCAACTAATGACCCACCCAACCATGGTGGGTGTCCCCAGTGAGAAGCCCTATCTCACAACCCACCCAACCACGGTAACGATCCCCATGCAAGAGCCCTATCTCTTGATTTATCCAACCACGGTGGGTATTCCATGGAGAAGCCCCATATCATGACCCGTCCAAAAATGGCAAGTGTCCCCATGGATGAACCCCACCTCATGACGCACCCAACCATGGTGACCATCCCCACAGAAGAGCCCCATCTCTTGATCTATCCAACCATGGTGGGTCTCCCCATGGAGGAGCCCCACCTCATGACATAGCCAACCATGATGACCACCCCCATGGAGGAGCCCCATCTCACAACCCACCCACTCATGGTCACCGCCCCCACGGATGAGCCCCATCTCACCACCCCCCCACCCATGGTGTGTGTCCCCATGGAGGAGCCCCACCTCATGACGTACCCAACCATGATGACCATATTCTTGGAGGAGCCCCATCTCACCACCCACTCACCCATGGTGGGTGTCCCCATGGAGGAGCCCCATGTAACAACCCACCCAACCATGATGATCACCCACATGGAGGAGCCCCATCTCACCACCCCCCTACCCGTGGTGTGTGTCCCCATGGAGGAGTCCCACCTCATGACGTACCCAACCATGATGACCACCCCCATGGAGGAGCCCCATGTCACAACCCACTCACCCATGGTCACCACCCCCATGGAGGAGCCCCATCTCACCACCCCCCCCAACCCATGGTGTGTGTCCCCATGGAGGAGCCCCACCTCATGATGTACTCAACCATGACGACCACCCCATAGAGGAGCCCCATCTCACCACCCACTTGCCCATGGTGTGTGTCCCCATGGAGAAGCCCCACGTCACAACTCATCCAATCATGGCCACCACCCCCATGGAAGAGCCCTATTTCACAACCCGCCCACTCATGGTCACCACCCCCACGGAGGAGCCCCATCTCACCACCCACTCACCC